ATCCCTTGGGGTTTGACTTCGCCTCCCTTGTTATCTTCAGTTCATTATTCCTCTTTGGTTTCCTTATCTCAGTCTTAACCCTACTGGCCAATACCTTATAATAATCCCGGAGGTAAACTTCACCACGATATATTCTCCCACCTATAGTCTTCCTTTATCCCATAATATTCTTTAAATAATTATTTATCCATTTAGGGTCATTGAGTTTTCTCTATGGTATGTTCTGCCTTTGTGCATTAATTAACTCATTATTTAAATTGTTGTGGAGCTCATCAACCTCAGATCTCGTGATCAGGTCATCATCAACCGTCATATTTTGTGAGGTTATCGTTGTCAGGTCCCCAGGTAAAGTGAGGTCGCCCTCTGTGGGTACATTGTGTGAGGTCATGTAATTCACCCTCAAATGTGATACCCTTTCTCTTAGCTGCCTCTTCAAACTATCACAGTTTGCCCTTCTGAAATCTGGGACTTCAATGAAATTTTCCTTGCGACTAGCATTAAATTCTAATTGGAACCTTATTTCTTTGTGATCGCTGTTAGCAAGTTCGTTCCCAACCTCGACATTACTAATGAGGTTTTCTCTGATTGACAGAACTAAATCTCGTATATTATTACCCCGGGTGGGTTCAGTTATATGTTAACTTAGGAAACAGTCTTGAACTGTTTCAAGAAAATCCTCGGATCTATCCAAGCTATACTTGAAGCTATCCAGCGTGATCGAGTTAATGATGATCTTTGGTAGCTTGTTACACTCATTCACTATATTACCAAACTAGTGTTTACTTATCTCTCGCTAAATCTAAATTTGTCATTCCTACAGTTCGCTCCTGGTAACAAGGTACACATACTAGCCCGCACATCACACCATGGCACACACACACACACATCATACCCATCACAGAACCACATCACACCATGACACACACACATCACATTAACCTAACACATACATCATACGTTCCCTAACTCTCTACTACTATAAACTCCACGTGAAGCTGCGGCCCATAACTCCGTCTTAGCTCATTTACTGAAGCACCATAAACATATATATCCTCGAGGTGAGATACTGTACCTACGTCTTCCTTATTAACCTTTATGAATGGTTCATAAATCTCTCCTCCAGAGGTTTCGGCCAGAAGGAAGGCATCTCTCTCTTGCCCTGTGAAGTGTAGTAACTCAAAACCCACATTTCTGGAGTATAGTTTGCATTATGGTACTCTAGATGTTCTCCCACTGCCCACACTGTCCTGCCACTGCCTATACTGACTTCCCACTGCCCACACTGTCCTGCCACAGCCCATACTGTCTCCCCCACTGCCCACACTGTCTCCTCCACTGCCCACACTGTCCTCCCACAGCCCATATTGTCTCCCCCACTGTCCTCCCACCGCCCACACTGTCCTCCCACTGTCCTCCCTACCACCTTTTATCAGCCATTACCAAAAGTTAATTCTTTGCCGTCGTCTTCAATTTCATTTTCCTCACCATTAAACGAGTTGTAATTGTCAGCGGCGGTGTAAACGAAGCCAACCCGGGGCCATCTTGACCCTCTGTGATCTGACCTAGCTTGACCTACAATTGACCTGGCCTTCACCTTGCCTGACCTGCACCCAGATTGATCAAATTTGACTTTACCTGGTCCTAACCTGACCTGGCCTTCACCTAGCCTGACTTGACCTGCACAAGACCATACAGTACCTGACCTTTTCCTGATACTTCTCTCTCTCTCTCTTATATTTCAATCTTTCCATTTTTTCGTTTTCCTCGTCTTCATCTCATCTATCCCACTCCTCCTCCCTTTCCTTCTATTTCCTCTTTTATCCCAACCGCCTATTCTCAAAATTATTTCTAGAGTCCCTCGTATTTCCTTCTCTTTTTATCGAACACTCCTTCATTCCCTTCCTTCTTCCTCTCTCCTTTCTGTCACATCTCTCGCTCTGTTTTCCCCCTTTCCTCCCTTCTTTTCTCTCTCTCTCTCTCTTACTCATTTCCCCTTTTCCTCTCTTCTTTCCCACCATTTTCCATCCCCCATCATTCTTCCCCTCCCTCCCCCATTCACTATTCTACTCGTCGCTTCCTCCCTCCTGTTTCCCCTCTTCCGTTTCTGGACACACCTTCCCTCTCTCTCAACCCTGCCCCTTCCCCACCCTCCCCAGCACCCCATCTCCCTTCCTCCTCATAATGATGTTTGGGTACACACCTAACACACGATCTGAGGGCGAGAGCTTCATTACTGTGCTCTCTCTCTCTCTCTCTCTCTCTCTCTCTCTCTCAGGTACCAAATATTTTGTTTATCTTTGCTTTTTGTTCTTGGTATTCAATCCTGCCTCTCCCCTTCTCTCATTCTCACTCCCCCCTCTCATCTTTCTTCGTCCTTCCCTCCCCTCTCCCCTCCCCTCTCAACCCTCCCACCTCCTCTACTCTCCCTCCGTCTCCTCACACCACAATTTAAGGTGAGGGGGTAGGTAAAATATTAAGTCACTTGTGTTGTATTGAAGGTCGGAGAGACACGACTGGGGAGGAAAAACAATATTTGGAAGACTCTCTGAAGACTTCTTGACGTCACATGAAGACTGGGGGAAGATGGTCACAGTTTGGGTGGTAATAATAATAATAATAATAATAATAATAATAATAATAATAATAATAATAATAATAATAATAACAACAACAACAATAATAATAATAATAATAACAACAACATCAACAAACACTATAATAATAACAGTAACGATGACAAAAACAACAATAACAAATGATACGAGAAACAACAACAATAATAATAATAATAATAATAAATAATAAATCAATCAACAACCCAACTTAGAAGACAATAAAAAAAAACCCATCTTGAGACGAACTCTTTAAAAGGCTCCGTAAAACATTTCTTAAAACTGCATCAGGGACTTTCAGTAACTATGTGAGAGCGTTTCAAGGGTAATAAAAAAAGCCTCAAGACAGTCAAGATTCTCAGACCAACTTGCTGGGGCGGATCCCGAACTAAAAAACTTAATCCTTGGCTGGCAACTCTCCCTCTCTGGGGGCCGGTGAGTGTTGCCGCCACAAGCTCCCTCAAGTCCCAGGCTAATTCACCACGGGAAAATAAATTGGTTACAGTATTATAATTGTGTGTTTGGCTCACCTGAAGAATCTGTGAGAGACGTAGAGTGAGGGGCGACCTGATAGAGGTGTATAAGTGGAAGGCAGGGCTAAACAAAGGGGACATTACAGAGGTACTCAAATTATCCAACCAGGAGCGAACTCGTAACAATGGTTTTAAATTAGACAAATTTAGATTTAGGCGTGAAATAGGTAAACACCGGTTTGGAAACAGAGTAGTGGATGAATGGAACAAGTTACCAAATATCATCATTAACTAGAATACGCTGAATTGCTTCAAACATATGTTGGATGCTCATATGAGCAATAGGGGTTGGGTGTAAATGGGACTGCCCAGTATGGGCCAATAGGCCCGCTGCAGTTTCCTCCATTCTTATGTTCTTATGTGTCTTAACTTATTTTAACTAAGGATTAACCTCACCTTAACTTAACTTAACCTAACCTAACCTAACCTAAAGAATCTCTACCGTAATTAATTTCACCTTGAGATTTTAAACACCATTAATCTAATCTAACCTAACCTAACGATTAACCACTCTAATGTTAACCTAACCTGATTTAACCTATCCTAGTCTGACCCAACCTAACCTAATCCAACCCAAACTAATCGAGCCTGACCCAAACTAACCCATCCTTCCTGAACCTAACCTAACCTAACCAGACCAGGTAAATGGCCCATCACCCCGAATGGTTCTGTCGGATAAACAAGATAGATAAGTCAGTTCTGATTAGCTGGTGTGTGTGTGTGTACAGACCATCACACACACACACACACCTCCCCTCTCCCCATCAGATCAAAACTGCTAAATTTACAAAGGTATAATTCTTTCAAGGGAAAACAGAGGGAAGGGGAGGTGAGGGGTAAATGCTCGTCCATAAATCCACGTCCCAGGGTTCGACTCCCCAGTTAAGAATATACCTGCCCAGTTCACCTGTCTCTCTCTCTCTCTCTCTCTCTAAAATAATGTGATGTAGTATTGCAGATTAATTTCATAAAGTGTTTGTCATCCATCCATTGAGTACGATTAATTAGTACCACCCACCCACCCAGGACCTTTCATCCACCCAGGGCCACCCATCCACCACTAGGACCACCCAGCCACCCACCACCGCCCACAGCAACTAGTGTCTCCGGGTGATAATGAAATGTAAATGTATTCATATAAGCGGTCTCCATGAGGTGGTATATAATGAGGCCTTGTCTAACCTTTTTCTCGCTGTTAATTCTGATACTCTGTGTAATTACCTCTTGGTCACTTATCACCTGGACTCCTTCCTTCCAGTTTGTCCTTCTTTCCTTCCTTCCCGTCATCTTGTCCTTCCTTCCTTCCATTTACCTTGTCCTTTCCTTTCATCTTGTCCTTTCTTCCTTCCATCTTGTCCTCCTACTGATTTTCTTCCTCCCCCCCCCCCTCCTCTTCCTACCCATCTTCTTTCTTCCTTCCTTCTCCTCCTCTCCCTATTAAGTTTTCCCTTCTTCTTCTTCTCTTAGTTATCGTACAAAAAAATGAACTGCCAGCACGAGCAATCAGCAGCACCTGGCCTGGCGTTTCCCTCCTCAGATTAACGCCTGTATGGAAACTATGGTCGACTGTTCGCTCGTCTTGTTCACTGCAGCGTGTGTGTGTGTGTGTGTGTGTGTGTGTGTGTTACGAAAGTCCTCGAATTATTTCCATCTCTCTTAACATATCCTCCGTCTCTTCCTTTACCCACCAGTGTTCACCACCTCCCTTATTATCACCCTCTATTCTGTGTGTCGCTTTCCCTTCTCTCTCTCCCTTCACCCTTTTCTTCGTCTCTCTCTCTCATTTCCGCACTCTCGCTCTCCCCTCCTGTGTTCCCTTATTCCTACCAGCACTCTCACACTCTCCCTACACCAGGACTCCACCACAGTGGGTCCAGGACTTCACCACAACAAGGCCAGGACTCCACCACAGCAGGGGCAAGACCCCACCACAGCAGGGGCAAGACTCCACCACAGCAGGACCCCATCACAGCAGGACTCCACCACAGCAGGGGCAGGACTCCACCACAGCAGGGGCAGGACTCCACCACAGCAGGGCCAGGACACAGTTTGGCAGCGTCTTGGTGATGGGTATTGACGGTCTTTCACACCATTAGAAACAGGGTCGAGCCTCACCCAATGACACTTTTTATTACTCCACCAACCTGATCGTAAATCTTGCCGCCAACCTTCTATGATGACCTGACCTGCTGTGACCTCCTGTGACCCTCAACCACCCAGAGGCATCAATGGGTGACCTGATTTATGCAGAGCGACCCCGAACGATTGAGACCCAGCGATACCCACTGTTGGTTAACATAACCAGCTGTTGAAACTTGGACCCTATGATGCCCGATCTTCAAACTATTCGAAGTCCTGTGACATGACCTACAGAGACCTCAAACTGCTGTGACCTGACCTACAGAAAACTCAAAATAATATGACCTAACCTAATGTGACCTACCCTAACCTACCCAAACTCCTGAAATCTTAAAAATGTTAAAACCTCGAAAATCAAACCTAAACTGAACTGGCCTGCTGAGATCCCACCTGCTGTGATCTGAAAGGATGAGACCCCCACCTGCTGAGACCCGTCAATGGATGACCTGACCTCCAGAGATCTGGGCCGGGGGCAGGGGGGTAAGAGTCATAAACGGGTAGGAAAAGGAATCATGCTTGACTGACGGGGGGTTATGGTTCGTGTGTGTGTGTGTGTGTGATGGTTCTTGAAATATATGTGTAGTAATGTCATGTGCAGTTTGAAGGATGGTGTCCGACGAGGCCATTTACAAACACTCATCCGAGAAGCGAGATGAAAAGGACTATTTTTTTTAACACTTTAAAAACCTTCCCTTGAAACGCGTAGTAAATGACGCCACCAACTACAGCTGCAGGAACCAACTTTTATTTGTCAAGATACGCGACTGAAAAGAAACGTAATTATTTCGAGAAGATTTCGTTCCAGAGGCGAAAACGTTGAGACCAAAATGGCTGTGGGACCTTCCTCATGGATGGCGCCGTGAAGGAGTGACGGGGTGGTAACTACCAAATTGGTCAGGGTCTCGTTAGGTCCCCCTTCAGCGTGGTAAGTCAAGCCAGTCAATGTTTTTCTCGGGTTGAGTCTTCGTGTGCGTGGCCAGTGTGAATTTTTAGGTGCCAAATTACCTTCTTTCCTGCCCACGCGTACCCGGGCTCGCTCTCTCGCTCTCTCTCTTTCTCTCTCCTGCATACCCACGCCGCCACGTCATCAGTGAAGAGACACACCTGGTTACTTCCTCCAGCCTAGTGTCCAGTCTACCTTAATTAATTCTTCGCCTGGATAACCTCTCACCCACCTGTCCCTTCGCTCTCTCTCTCTCTCTCTCTCACTCCTCCCTTACTCTCTCTCACTCCTCCCTTACTCGCTCTCACTCCTCGCTACATCTCACCCCCCTCTCTCTCTCACCTGTCCTCAAGTATCTCTCATCTCACGTTTCTCCCTCCTCTCTCGAATACCAGTGTGTCTCTCACTGTGATCCCCAATTCTCTCATCTCTTTTGATCCTCCCCCTCCCCTCACAACAACACGTCGTATCATACTTCCTCACGTCTCCCCTCACCTTACCCAAGAGCTGACAGTCCCTCCCCCGCTCTATCAACACTGTGGCTGACTCTCATAGCCGACAGACAGACAGACACACACACACACTGTCTCTTTCTCGAATGATTAACACCTTGTAGCTCTCTCTCTCTCTCTCTCTCTCTCTCTCTCTCTCTCTCTCTCTCTCTCTCTCTCTACCAAATCGCACCATCTTTCAAAACTCCTAATCGCCTCCTCCTCCTTATCTTCCTCCTCCTCCTCCTTATCTTCCTCCTTACCTTCCTCCTCCTTATCTTCCTCCTGCTCCTCCTCCTCCTTGATGAAATAATGATCCTAATTTCCCACATTATCTCTACAGACTGGTCATCTTTATCTGGGAGTGGTGAATGAAGTAGTCATTTGTCTGGGAGTGATGAAAGAAGTAGTCATTTGTCTGGGAGTGGTGAAAGAAATCTCCTTTTTACACCACAGACAGTCTTCCTGCGCCCACAGACAGTCTTTCCCGCACCCACAGACAGTCTTTCCACAGTCTTTCCACCCCAGACAGTCTTTCCCGCCCCACAGACAGTCTTTCCCGCACCCACAGACAGTCTTTCCCGCCCCACAGACAGTCTTTCCACCCCACAGACAGACTTTCCCGCCCCACAGACAGACTTTCCACCCCAGATAGTCTTCCCCGCCCCACAGACAGTCTTTCCCGCCCTACAAACAGTCTTTCCCGCCCCACAGACAGACACTTCCAGGTACCAAAGAATTAATCTAGACCGTAAAAAACCCTGTCTTCTGGACCACACAAGGGAGAGGTCCTTTTAGGGTCAATATATATCACTACAGAACCGCTGAATGTTTAGGGTCTTAACCTCCAGTGACGTGATATACTGTTTCTCAAGACATGATATCTTTCTAGACATGATATCTCAAGACATAATATCCCTACAGGCATGATATCTTTCTCCACACGTGATATCCCTACAGACATGATATCTTTCTACAGATCAGATTTACCTCGGGTGTAAACAGATGCCCAGCCTTAAGACTTGCTAAGAGGGCCTCTCAAGACGCCAAACAAACAAATAAATAAATAAATGACACGCTCTCAGTCGCAAAAAAGCTCTTACAGCCAGAAGCTCTCAGGCCACAAAGAGCTCTACACCTAGCAGCTCTCAGGCCACAAAGAGTTTTACACCTTGGCAGCTCAGACCACAAACGCTCTACACCTAGCAGCTCTCAGGCCACAAAGAGTTCTACACCTAGCAGCTCAGACCACAAAGAGCTCTACGCCTAGCAGCCTCAGGCTCCAAAGAGCTCTATACCTAACAACTCAGGCCACAAAGAGCCTCTACGCCTAGCAGCCTCAGACCACAAAGAGCTCTACGCCAGCAGCTCAGGCCACAAAGAGCTCTACACCTAGCAGCTCTCAGACCACAAAGAGCTCTACACCTAGCAACTCTCAGGCCACAAAGAGCTCTACGCCTAGCAGCTCAGACCAAAGAGCTCTACGCCTAGCAGCTCTCAGACCACAAAGAGCTCTACGCCTAGCAGCCTCAGGCCACAAAGAGCTCTACACCTTGCAGCTGTCAGGCCACAAAGAGCTCTACACCTAGCAGCCCAGACCACAAGGAGCTCTACGCCTAGCAGCTCTCAGCCAAGAAGAGCCTTATACCTTAACAACCTCGGGCCACAAAGAGCTCTACACCTAGCAGCTGTCAGGACACAAAGAGCTCTAACCTAGCAGCTCTGGGCCACAAAGAGCTCTAAACCTAGCAGCTCTCAGGCCACAAAGAGCTCTACACCTAGCAGCCTCAGGCCACAAAGAGCTCTACACCTAGCAGCTCTCAGGCCACAAAGAGCTCTACACCTAGCAGCTCTCAGGCCACAAAGAGCTCTACACCTAGCAGCTCTCAGGCCACAAAGAGCCTCTACACCTAGCAGCTCAGGACTAAAGAGCTTCTACAACCAGCAGCTCTCAGGCCACAAAGAGCTGTATAAGAGAAAGTTTCAGAAGCACAAGAGACCGTGAGAGTCAGCTGCCAGCAACCCCGCAAGGGCATTACTCCTACGTGTGCATATTCATAGTCACACACACACACACACACACACACTCCTCAAGTGGTGTGTGGGAGGGTTGAAGGGCAGAGAAGGTGAAAGAGTGAGAAAAAGAGTGTGTGTGTAAGAAAGGGATGGTTTAGAGTTAGAAGATCAGAGTGTGTGTGTGAGGCTGTACTGGTCCACCTGGCTGGCTGTGACGAGCGACGCCCCTCACACCTGCATCAATATTCACCCCTTTTAGTCACCCTCGCTACTCACCTGATGATCGGGGTGAGGGAGGTCAGGGAGATGTGAGGGAGGTGCGGGTGAGGGAGGGGGAGGATGAGTAATTTTTTTTTGGGGGGGGAGGGTGGAAGGTGAGGAAGGGTAGAAGGAATGTGTTCTGGAAAGGGGAGCAGACCATAGACACACCCTCACCTCACCTGGGGTAATTAAGGCTCCACAGGTAAGGCCACCTTGTCTAGCATCAATACACTATACTAATATACCTGTTAAACTAATCCATTTTTCCATTTAATTTACTCATACATTCATTATTATTTAGTTAGTAAATATTTCAATTCGTTCCCACTAACAAAATCCAAAATATGGCACAGACACCCCAGTTGTTTACACTTCCGTTCTCTATGCATTGATAAACATTGAACGCACCGGCACGTGATACTTCCGAGTTTCAACACAACATCCACAACACTCTGTAAATGTTTATCAAAGGAATATATATCACCCACAACCATTACAGAAACATTACCTTAGCGGACGACAGGTGTACCTATTCAACGACACGTACCTGTAATTAAGAAAAAAAAATACTTTAAATGGTAGGAGGGTTGATCGGTTCACCAGGTATAGGACACTAATACCAGATCATTGAGGCTGGTAATTCTTCCTGGATTAGAGGAGAGGATAGGGAGAGAACCTAGGGGGTTGTATGTCCAGTGGTATGGTAAAACTGAGAGCGTGTGGAGAGGCATGATGGCTCTCTCTCCTTCACTAATAATGTGTAAGAACCTCCTCCTCCTACCCCCCCTCCCTAACAGACTGGCCTCCACTAAATAATATACAGGTGTTATAACTTGAAGCTAAAGATTAATGAGAAGGTAAACTAATATCAAGAGTCATCATTACACCGACTTGTTCTGGTCATCTAAATCACTCGTTAGGAAAATGTCTTCCTTGTGAGAAAGAATGAACGAATGAAAGATTGAAAGAATGAAAGTGAAAGAAATAATTCAACCGCATAAAAAAAAAACGATAAAAATGTAAACGTATCATTTTTTTTTGTAAATTTCCTCTGAATTAATTTTCCAATATTCCCCCCTCCTGAGGACAATAGTCACGACCCCCCCTCCTCCTCTCCCTGCTTCCCCTCACCCCCACCTCTCTCACCAGACTCCAGCCGCCTCCTTCCCCTCACCCCTCTTTCTCCCACCCCCTCTCATCACCTCCATCACCCTAACCACCTCTTCACTCCATCTACCACCCCCCCCAGAGCTAAGACACGAGAGGGACTAAGGGGGGCGTGGGGGGGCAGGTGTAATGAGCCAACTAGGGGCCGTAATTGGTGGAGGCGGGGCCCACAATGTAATGAGGCCACACAAAGAGCAACAACACAGCTAATATTTTGCTCTAACTTATATTAGTGTGTGTGTGTGTGTGTGTGTGTGTGTGTGTGTTAAGAGAGGCTACAGTTACAGTACAAACATCCATATAAGTACTTACATACATACATACATACACATAATTACACACATACATACACACATACATACACACACACATACATACATACATACATACATACATACATACATACATACATACATACATACATACATACACACACACACTTACATACATACATACATACATACATACATACATACACACATACATACACACATAAATACACACACACACACACACACACACACACACACACACACACACACATACATCCATACATACACACACTTACATACATACATCCATACATACACACACACTTACATACATACACTACAGTCACTTACAAACCATATCAACAATCTCCACTTACATATACTGTACACTAAACACTATACTTATTTACCAAACACCAACAGTCGCTTACAAACCACTTAAAATAACTTACAAACCACTAAAAATAAAACCACTTAAAATAACTTACAAACCACTAAAAATAACCTACAACACTTAAAATAACACAAATCACTTAAAATAACTCTTACAAACCGCTTAAAATAACAAAAAACACTTAAAATAACACAAATCACTTTAAATAACACTTACAAATCACTTAAAAATACTAGTCACTTACACCTGAGCATGTCAACAAGAGATGAATACACACAATTAACCTGAGTGCCTCCCTCACTAACCACCGCCATCCATCTTGATCATAAATCACACCATCAGGAGGGAACCATCTGTACCGCCCATTAAGGTGCAGGAGGGGAATGTACAAGGGAAGGAGGGGGGTAACGGAAGGAAGAATGGCTGGGGAGGTGTGGGGATGGGAGGGTTAACAGGAGGGGGTAGCAGAGGAGGTAACAGGAGAGGGGTAGCAGAGGGGGTAACAGGAGGGGGAAGCAGGGAAGGGGGTAGCAGAGGGGGTAACAGGAGAGGGGTAGCAGAGGGGGTAACAGGAGGGGGGACAACACAGGGAGGGACGACATGAGGAGGACAAAGTAGGAAGGGCTGATGCCTGGCACACAGAGTACAACCTTCCTGCAGGCATTTGTAAACGAGATGTGTGTGTGTGTGTCTGTCCGTGACTGTTGTTTGTTTATCATTTAGTCGAGGCGGTGAAGAATTGTTACACGACTCTCACACTCGTACATACAGTACATACATGGGGTGTGGACGTGCGTAGTCGGCGCTGCCTGCTGAGGTCAGGAACTTCCCCATACTCATCTGGATTTATCAACATCCTCCCGCCAACAGTACAGTGCAAAGATTGATAATCAACCCACAAGTGACATACAAAAGTGACAATTTCAACTCGAAAGAAACAACTGTTAGTGACAATCAGTACAAAGCAGTCCGCCACCACCAACACCGGATGAGAAGCCAAGAAAGACTCCTAACTACACCAGGGGAGAAATGAGGACTCCCTACTCCACCCAGGTGAGGAACTATGAATTCCTAACTACATCACATGAGGAACAAGAACCATCTCCAACACCCTGTGTGAGCTGAAGGACCTACCCCGACCACGTGGTGATGTGCTAAACATCTGCAGCTGTAGTGAGGAAGCGGCTTAGCACCCAGGTACGACGGCCATCCAAACAATGGGAAGGACTTTGTTGGCGCCAATATCAGGTCACAAGAATGTTTACAAGACCAGCTCTCACAGTACCATATCTACAGTTAATCTATATGTTGACTCTACGTTTCTTATATTTTTTGTATTGAAAGCTTTTGTCAATCAAGTGACCCACTCCCCGATTTCACCATATGTAACTTTATCACCTCTGTTTATTGTATATTTTTAGCCATGTTATCTTAATAAACCGTTAATTATTATTATTACAAACATACATACAGACATACACACACATTTACACAAAAAGACCTACGAAAACATACACACACACACACACACATATATAAGCACCATCGTCTGTAATCGCCGGAGCCAAGATGCAAGACTGTCAATAAGAGACTGTGGCGTGTGGGAGCTGACTCGCCATAATCCCCGTCTTCTCCGGCCCAAACAACAGCGATAATCTCTATTGTTCCGTGACAGCAGCTTCCCTCCCACTCAGCATGACAGTGTTGATGACAAGGTCTTTATCGCGAGGAGACTGGCATTATTACTGGCACTACCCCCGGTGCCAAGTGTATCTTTGTAGGTGTGTAGAAGAGGAATCAAACCTAAACCTAACCTAACCTAACGCCACACACTCCTACACACACACACACAGTCTGGATCTTCGTCAGGGGGTTCCTCTTATACTCTCCTGACCACCTCATGTTTATCTAAGCTTCCCCGACGTTTACACAAGACTCGCCAAAAATTTCACCAGATATCAGCACAGGTCGCGTGGGGCTGGTACAAAATTTATCCTTTTAGTTTTTTTATTCATTTCCCAATTTATTTTTTTTAATCCCTGGAAAGTTAAGTAGATTTTTTTAAGGAGTATAATAAAAAACCGCCATTAGAGAATTACTACGATTGGATTACATTTTCCACGATAAGTCATTGAGTTACCTTAGTATACCTTCACTCACACACCTGGATTCTATTATTCAGGTGACATCTTTCCTCCTCTTCTTCATTCTTATTTTCTTCTTTCTCCTCCTAGTCCCCTCTTTCACTTAATTCATGGTTAATTCTCCCTTCATTACCTCTTTCTATCCCCCCTTCTTTCTTCCCTCCCCTACACTACTATCCCCCCCTCCCTCCCCTCTTCTTCTTCTTACCTCTCCCATCCCCATCCCTCCATCTCCTCTCACACTCCCCCCCTCTCTCTACAACTCCTCCCACTCCCTCCTCTCACCACCTCCTCCCACTCTCCCTCTCACCACCTCCTCCCACTCCCCCTCTCCCCCTCCCACCTCCTCCCACTTCCACCTCCTCTCCCCCACTCCCCTCTCACCACCTCCTCCCACTCCCTCTCTCTCTTGGGCATTACCGGACCAGAGTTAATTAGCCTGTTGTTTGATTTATCCGTGTCGATCGTTTACTCTGATGACCCATTACCTCCCTAAACTACTGACTGATGGCCTCTACGTCTCGCTGCCTTAACTTTACTTTGCTGGGTGCCATCCTGTCTTCTTGCTGCTGGGTGCCATAATCTTGCTGCTGGGTGCCATCATTTTACTGCTGGGTGCCATCCTGTCTTCATGCTGCTGGGTGCCATCATCTTGCTGCAGGGGTGCCATCATCTTACTGCTGGGTGCCATCCTGTCTTCTTGCTGCTGGCCATAATCTTGCTGCTGGGTGCCATCATTTTGCTGCCATCC